TAACAACATTAATATAACAAGCATACTAGAATGTGCAGTCCTTGACAAAAATATTACCACCATTGGTTTGGGCTGTGTGATCTGTCTAAAGATATGCTGATAAAAGTCTTTTATATCACTCAATATCTATAATTATTGATAGGTGTCTTGTGTACCTTTCTGAAATAATGTCCAGGGAAAAAATAGCTAATAAAAATAATACATTTTAGCATGAAAATAACACACTTTCATGCGAAACTCACAATTAAAGTGTCTCTCAAGGCTGTTTAGTCATGAATATAACATATACAATTGCAAATATCAGCAGTGTCATGCACCTATATATTTAGCATCCCTGATACTGTACTATAATACTGTTATGCTTTAAAGTACACTTTTTAAGACAGTTTAGCTACAATCTGTTTGGGGTATATACATCTATATACTAAAATGTTTGCTCAATGTTCTTTGTAAAATTGTTAAAGTTTTTATCAGATTGTCAATTTTAATTCCTGCTTTAGAAAAAACAGCCCTGTATGCTGTTGACATCATGTTTAATAATGGGTGGAGTTAATTTACAATATTTTTTGCAAAAGTTTTACCGTAGAAGATCTTTTATAAGCTTCCTGCCTACTTTAGATAAAGTGCTACTTTGTATTTTTCCATCACAAACGAGTCCTAATTACTGACAATAAAGTTTGTAGTTGTAATATGACAAACTTTAAAACCTCAAAGGTTTTTAATGACTTTGTAAGATATTGTAGGTGATATGTTTTAATTAAGAGCAGAAAAAATCTTCACAACCTCAATTTCATAAAATTATAAATTAACTCTACTGTAGCAACAACCTGTCATAAAAATTTTTTTTTTCCAGTTTTGTCTCAGTTGGTTTCTTTACCCTGTTTGTTTTACTGTTGAATGTTGATCTGGGTTCCATTATCTTTACTTTTTGGACTCCATTGCTGTTTGTTACAATAGCTCAGACCACTCAACCTATTCAGTCTCACAGTAGCATACTTTGTAGAGAAAATGTCAAAATGAACATGTGTTCAATTCTCTCCCCCTTCAATGCACCATTAACTCAAGTGACCCTTGCTATTATTGCATCAGTGTTACAACAGCTCAGTGTGTTCTAGTTAGTACAAAATCCCATTCAAAGTAGGGCACTCCAAGATTTCCGGTGCAGATGTGTTTATAATAGCTCAGATTTCATCTATGTTGTTATGGATGGTAGACTGTGCTAAATCCCATTTTAAGAACTGCTTCAAGGAATGTTTTGGTTATTCTGAAATATGATTAACATAACATAAAATGTCAAAACCTTTATTGCCGTGGAATTATTTCCCAGTGTGTTATGGTGTTGGGTGGAAAACCCTTTCTACACAACCAACTACAAATTTACATGTTTACACAAGAGGATTCTTCCCTCCCTTAGCACCAAGAAACAACAATGGTGGACTTTAAGAGTTGTGTTGTGTTTCAAAAGTTTTTGTATTTAACTCTGGATTTTACACCAACACCTGTTTCTCCTCTATCAAGTCTGTGTGGGCTGCCTCGACGTTATTCCACAAAAATGCCTCTGGTTTCCTGGGTTTGTGGCGTTTTCCCCGCTTTGTGCTTCCTTCTTTATTTTTGGGGCAGAAACATAGATCCCCTTACTGATGTGGCATTAGTTTTAAAATGTCTATTACGGCGCCTCGGACCTTGTTAAGTTGCTTCTTCAAGTGCAAACCTTGCTTCCCATTTGAAACATGTGAGGGCTCTGGATTTGAGGATTTTGCACATGATCTATGTGTGTCAGTACATTTGTACAGCAGGTTTTTTCCCCCCACTGTAAACGTGTGCATGTGCCAACTTTCTCACTCAGAATTACCTCATTTTCAGAGGAGAAAATCAAATTCTAGTTAATTTATTTAATCTAATGTCAGAGAAACTAAATATTCCAGTAAACTACCTGTTTTATGTTAACGTCTACAAATTCAAAGATGATTTATTTATTAAAGGAATAGTACACCCAAAACATGATTAGCCTTCATTTTCTACTCACCCCCATGCTGAACAACACTCTGGAGTACTTTTTTGATATCTCAAATGCATCTGGAGATCTGGGAGGCTTCTTGCTGTCTGCTGACATTCAAATAATGGAGGTCTATGGTGCCCGAGACAGAAAGGTCCATGAAAGTCCACAAAAAACGTGTCAATATTCCTCCATACTGCTCGTCCAATGTATTCCAAGTGTCCTGAGTGGGTAGCATCCAGAATTTACTCGAAACGAAGTCATTTAGAATGTTTTTAGAGCATAAACAGTAGTGTATAGGATTTCCTGAAAGCGCGCGCCTGCGCGTTCATGACGCTACGGAAGCCGGCAGACCAAACCAGATGAAAGTGCGCATTCAGCGTCTGCTCTACCGATAATGCAAGCGTAGAAGAAGAAATGTGCTGTTTACCTGTGCAAAGAAAGAAACAACGAAAGAAAAATATCTGAGGACTTCAGTGTTGAGGAAGAGCATGAGTTCTTTGCCGAGCTGAATGCGCACTTTCATCTGGTTTGGTATGCCGCGGTTTCCGTAGCGTCGTGAACTCGCAGGCGCGTGCTTTCAGGAAATCCTATACACTACTGTTTATGCTCTAAAAACATTCTAAATGACTTCGTTTCGAGTAAATTCTGGATGCTACCCACTCAGGACACTTGGAATACATTGGACGAGCAGTATGGAGGAATATTAACACGTTTTTTGTGGACTTTTATGGACCTTTCTGTCTCGGGCACCATAGACCTCCATTTTTTGAATGTCAGCAGACAGCAAGAAGCCTCCCAGATCTCCAGATGCATTTGAGATATCAAAAAAGTACTCCAGAGTGTTGTTCAGCATGGCGGTGAGTAGAAAATGAAGACTAATCATGTTTTGGGTGTACTATTCCTTTAAACCATCAATTTCTGTAAATCAACTAACAAGAAACTTTGGTATACCTGTATGAACACTTATACCTTTAAAACTTGCTTATGGCTTATGAAAATACAATATAATAGAAAATAAAAAACTGGCTCAATACGCACTACAGTATACACAATTTCATCGCCATCAAAATTGTGCTACTACAGATATTTTGGTTGTGTTGTTTTAGCTCTCAGATGCAATATACGATGCACAGGTAACATATACTCCTGCCCAGTTGCTCCAGCTTAAAAGTAATGTGGATGACCTAACATACATTTTGCTGTGCAGACGACAAATTTGAAAAGACAAATACCACCCAGAAGGTAGCTTAAAATCTGACAGTCAAACAGACGATTTGACTATCTTTGTAAATAGTTCAGCAAAAAAATATATTACTTCAGGAAATTGTGAGATGAAATTGATACATACTGAGAAAATTATTTGAAACATGGCCGTCATAAAAAAAAACATACCTAATAAACGGAAAATGCATTACTCAAACTGGGCGTGCAGGAATGGGAGCTATATAATTTAAAGACATGACAGGATTAGTTGTCCTCAAAAAATCCTTTTCATTTCCACACATTAAGACTTACACAGCATTTTGATGTTCATAATTAGAGCAATCATTGGCATGACAGGAAGCTTCAGCATTACACATTTATAGTGATATATTTATAAAATTTATTGTGATATATATATATATATATATATATATATATATATATATATATATATATATATATATATATATATATATAGATATATATATATATATATATATATATATATATATATATATATATATATATATATATATATATATATATATATATATATTCGATCACTTATTGGACCTTACTGATTAGACATCCTCAATCACTTTGTTGTGCTCTCCTAGAATAGAATGGATAGACCATTCTCCTGGAAAGCTGGGTCACTCTTTCTGGTACAGCTCTTGACTGGTTTTTATTCCACTTAAAGGGAATAGATTTGTTGTGTTGTGTGATTACGTAACTTTACACAGAAAGCACAAAAATCCAATGCAGGGTCAATCTTGGGGCCCCACCTATTTAATATCTACATGCTCTGCCTTGCTCATATTATAACAAATAACAAGATACGTTACTATGACTATGATAATGACAGCTCCATATTACCAAGACATTGATATTGATTGATTGACATACTATGAACCCAATCAAACTTTTGGTAAATGCCTGCAAGTAATGAATGTGCTCTCATGTCAACATCATTTAAGAAAAAATAGCACATTTTCAAGTTTTTCATCTCAGAGTGTAGACCTTGAAAAACTTCTTTTAGTCCATAAAACATAAAACATACATTACAGACTTGCCAGTAAATCAATGTTTCAGACTACTCAGGTCCCTTGGCTCAAGTCTATTTATTATAATCAGAACCTTACCAGATATGGAAAAACAGCATTTAGTTCTTATGCCGTAGTAATCAGGAACAAACCTGTGAAGGTGCTGAAAACCTAAGGGATTTAAATCAAAGTTAAACACCGTTTTTCTCCTGAGTTTCCATTGATGTTTCTATCTAAATTGTTCAACATTTAAGTTTGTAATCCTGACCTGCTGTTGAGAACCTACTAAAGTGCAACCTTCTTTCCTTTTTTTCTTTTCTTATGTTCTATTTGTGCAAAGTACTTAAAGCACATTAGCTTTTTAAAACAGGAATATTAAGTCAATATATGCTGTCATATGTGCGTTACGTTTTTCTGCAGTAATAGGCTGCAATTGCATTTTTTTCTGTGGAGAAACCTGATTGAATACTTCATAGAATACTTATCTGTGCAGTACTACTGTGACAAATTTGAATAGAGGCTGCAATTCTTTTTCACATACTTAATTCTATTCGAATATGTTTACCTAACAGTTGCTTTTGTGTGAACAAGTCAATCACAAGAGTTCACGTACATGTAAAAGTAGACAGAAAAATCTGGCTATATAGAGGATTTAGGTTTATAAATACATACTTGAATAAAGCTATACTTGGCATGTTTTGGACTTAAATGTAATAGCCTAATTAACAGCCTTTTTTTTCTTATGTTCTACGCAGAAAAACCTGTTGCAGTGGAACTGAGCTGTGGTGCCGGGCCCAGCCATGTAATTCTAGAGCTTGGTTCACCCCTTCTGCTGGACTGCAACCTGGGGTCCAGTGACACTCCTTTTAATGTTACCTGGTTCAAGGATGGCCAGCTTCTGCCCCCCGCACCAGGAGATCATCAGTATTTAAGCAATGGATCCCTTCTCCTGTTACCCACCTCCACAGACAGTCAGCCACCAAAGAATGTAGAGGGTAGTTACAGCTGCGTGAGTGCCAGCGACATTGGAGCACTGACCAGTCGGGCAGTAAATGTGCTGCTTGCAAGTAGGTGTTACACAATTAACAGGACACACTTCTTTCATGTAGGGATTTTAATGTAGAGATTTTTTGTGTCTCTGGGCTCTAGTCAGGTTTTTACAGTAATTTTGTATCACAGGCCTTCCTCTTTTGTTGGTAGACAAAAGAAAACATACAGCTCTAAATTTTTAAAAGCAGGAAGTTGATGCACAATTTTTAATTCTTACGGGACTCTCTCACCAACACAAATGCAAATATACCTAATTTCCTCCACTGACATGCCTAAATTTCCCTTTTATAGCTATTTATCAGTGAGCTTCAATGGCTTGCTATCTGAATATTTGACCCCTTTTCTTATCAGAAAAAAGCAGAGTTAATTTAATTTTACTAGTTGGCTGACATGGAATCTGCTTTTAAACATTGCAAATGTTGTTTGATCTTTGTTTAAGTTAAATATGTGCCTTTTCCAGAAGATTACTCTATTTATCCATTTGGAAACTATTTCTATATTGGTTTGCTTATTGTTCCACCCAGAAAAAAGAAACAGCTCTAACAAACCTTCCCAAGTTATAATGAATTTCACAATAATGGTTTGTAAGTATCAAACCCATCTGATCATTATTATGTCCATGCATTAACCTGTCCATAACATTTATTAGATCAATGCATGTTGGCTAATTGGACATGTTGCTGATCTACCATGATTGCTCTGAAAAGAAAAAACATCCAAACTGTTTCAGTTCCACCCTCTTTGAATTAATAAATTGCATGTATGACTTGGGAATGGCCATAAAAGAAGAAATAAGATCTGTCATGGAGTTGGAGGTAATCATGACAATAATAACAATGTCATGATGGGTATCAGGGAGGCCCAATATGCAGAACACTGACGACACGAATGGAAAGTTTAACAGAGTTTATTGGCAAATTCACACAAATAATAAAGACTGATGCAATGGTTCTGGGCTGGGACCGGTTCACTGGCGTCTGTGAGAAAGACAGTTTGGTTAGCGAAGGCTTGGTTGAGACTTGACTGATTGTGTTCAGGTTTGTACCTTGATGAACGTAGAGGAGGCTTTGGGAGCGGAACTGTTGGGTCCGGAGAACGCTTGGGTTGGCAGAGTCCTTAAGCTGTTTCAGCGTCTTACTTCTAAAGGCTGTTTTGACCTTGGCTTGTGTTTCCAGCTCGGTATCCAGAGCTGCTAGGAAATCCAGAGAGTGAGTCTTCAGGTTTGGCTCGGCAGGTTAAGCTCTTCCAGAGCTTCACAGGAGAAAGAACAGGAAACCTGGAAGCAGAGACAAAAGGGTTAGAATCCAGGTTGGACTCAAAGGAGACTTGGTTCACTAGGGATCTATGGCTTAAGTGCTAACCAACTGATTAAGACACTGCGGCGTCGAGGCAAGGTCTGAAGGCAGCTTAAGTAGTCCAGGTCCTCCAGATGAGATCATCAGCTGCAGGTGTGCAGAGCAGCTCAGCAGGGAGGATCCAGGGCGGACTCTGCTGGAGAAAAGGTGTATTTCTCCAGCTCCCAACAAACAACAATTAAACAAGTATAAATGTAAATTTAAAGTTTTTATTTAAAAGAGTAAATATAAATCATAAAACCTTAAAAAGTCAACTTTGATCGAGATGAAGGGACCCACTGTCTCTCAGCAGTAAGATTACTTTTAAAAAGCTGAATTTACCTTCAATTAATTGAAAATATAGCAAACCAAGATAGACCGGTAATGGTTGAACTGAACACAATACTTCACATGATTAAAGAACATTGAGCAAACAATTCTTTTGTGTTTTCTAAACATACCACAATACTTCACTTAAGTTATGATGTTTCCCATTTGTGTTCATGGCTCAAAGGCTGCATTGATTAATTAAATTTTGTTGGATTTTTCCACACTAATATATTCTACTCTTTTTATTTCTAACTCTTTCATTATTTTGAAATGAGCACAGATCATTTCTCGATCACCTGTTTTTGAGTTAATGCTTTCTACTTAGCCATAACAACCTCAGAAATGTTTGCATCCTGAATTTACATTTCCCTATTATAGTAGAATCTACATATTCATGAAGCACACTAACACACATATTTTGTGTCCACTCTTCTGGATACATGGCACCTGTTTTCAACATCACCTTTGTACAAACTAAGACATTTACACAGGTTTTAAATCATACATAAAGCTTTAAAGCCCTGAGTTTAAGGAAAAATGTGTTCCCTGGGAAAAGAGATAAAAGTATGATTTGATGATCATATTTCCTGTTTTTATTTTTTGGTAAGTGATAACTAGATATTAGAAATCAAAGTTAGTTAAATTGTGATTTTATGAAGGCCAAAGCTTAGATCAATGCAATGAAAAATGAAAAAAAGTAGATAAAAGTAGAGGTTCATAATCTCATAAGCCAATTATAGTTGTGATCTTATCATGGAAGTTTAAAATTATAGCATCTGGTATTATTAGCAGTCTGTTAGACTGCAGCTGTTTAAAAGAGGACATTCAGAATTTTCTTTTTGCCCATAATTAGTCAGATTGAATGAAGACTTGCTTCTATCATAATTGAATTATCAAAAAGAACAATCCAAGTAGGAGATTCACGTTGTTTAGATGGGAATTTAATGCATCCCTTCCTTTCACTTTGCACCACAGTGTTTTAGAAGTTTTTGTAGCCTTTATGTCTAAGCATATAGAGATGATGCTATTGCTCTACTACTAAGCCACTTTGCACAATGGCTTGAACCCATCATTGAAAAATTAAAAATTTCTATTTAACAAGTGACACCACACAAACTCAGCTGATTAAAAAAATAATCAACAAGTACATTTGTAAAACAGTAACCTTAAAAGAAGAAGAAAAAAAAGTTATCTTCACTGAAGTGGAAGTTTTGCACGAGTAGTTGTCATACTCATACTCGTTGTCTTCCATTCCCTGGAAGTTGTCCCCCTGTTGTGGGGACAACTGTATCGGCAGAGAAACTCCCAGTCTCCCTCCGGGAGGAGGCTCAGGCTACAGAATATCTTTTAGGCAACAGCTCTGGCCAACTGCAACAGGCAATCCACAGCCAGAGAACATGGTCCACTAAGACTTGGTGTCGCCAGCCTCCCCTGGAATCTGGCGGAAGTTGTCTTGAAGTTGAGAGTTGATTAAGTCGCTCCCTTAGGTCTCCATCAAGCGTTCTCAGCAGATTCTCAATACCCGCTTGGTCCTCTGCCTCTCTCAATACATGTGTGTCAAAGGTATCCAGCCTAGAACTTGAATACAAAGTTGATTATCAACCTTTTGCCTAGAGTGTCCTGGTGCCACAAATTGACATCCTTATGCTTAAACATAGTGTTCATCATGGACAATTTATGGCTAGCACAGAAGTGCAACAGTGAAATACCACCAAGAGCTAGCAGTCTGGTCCTCATTATCCATAATCCCCTTTAAGTGTCACTGTTATTTCCAACACAAGTGTTGAAGTCCCCAAGTAGAATGAAGGAATCTCTTCGAGGAGAGCAATCCAACACTCCACTTGTTGGATAGCACTGTGGGGAGACAGCAGACCCTCCCCAGCAATTTGGCTCTTCATGAGGACCACTTTAAAGTAGGTAGAGTGTAGCTTCTCTCAAGGAGCCAGGTTCTAGGTATCAGGCCTCCCAGGCCTCCACTTCTGACTGCTCCCCAAACATCTTTACACTGGTCCCTCATGGTGGTGGCAACTAAATGTTGCACTCCTTTAGACGTGATCTGGCTAGGGTCCCTCGAGGAGGAAACCACCAGGCGATGCCAACCCCTGACCTAGCTCCAGTGTGAGGTTCTAGCCATGCCATACCAGGCAATGCAGGGTGCCAAGTTGGATTATTTCAGTAACTCATTTGAAATGTATTGTATACATATTTAACAGGCTTTATTTCAGTATTTCTTGAGCATTTCCTACTTAGTAATATAACATATTAGAATGTTACATTTGACCACTAAAAATTATACTAAAATATGAGCTTTATGAAAAGTATGTTTAGAATTTGCTCAAAGATTATCACTGTACATTTAACACAAGGGGGTTTCATTTTTCTGTTATTAGACAGAAGATCATGACATAAAGCAACAGGGGAGAGAATTTTGTTTTTGTCTGACAAAAGGGCTTCCTTTTATCTCAAACTCAAGTCCTGGTCTTTATTTAGTCTTTTGCTTTGTGTAAGACGAGACACCATCCAATGTGAGTGCCCGTCTTTTGTCAGATGCTACATGCTTATTTATGAGGATCTTTTCTTTGAGGAACAATAAGGACCAAAGCACTAAAAGGAAGAGGAGCGGGGGTGTTTAATTAATGCTGTGAATGGCGAAAATGGCAAAGGACAGGTGGAAAAGTTATTGCCTTTAAAACGATTCAACTATTTTGGAAAACTATCCACACCCTTTGTAATCTAAATAAAATCACAATAATTTATTATTTTTATTATATTGAATAGAAAGAAGTATGCTTAGGTTAACCCTAACCCTTTCCTTGTGAATATCAATGCAAACTTGTTTGTCTATATCTTCATTAGCTTTGCTTTTTTTAGGATTTAGGTTGTTGTTGTTAACTTTTTAAGTCTTATTCATTAAACTGCTAAGGTGTAAACCTTTCTACTTTCTTATTCTCTGTATATTTCGGGTTTTTGTCCTGCGGAATTTGGATCTCCATTGAAGTTCAAGATCTTTTGTAGCTTTAAAATTTCTTTTTCTTCTATTGATGTTTTACAAATAGCTGATTTATCCTTAGACAATGGGTTTTCTGGGATATTAAGGGGTTGTATTTCACTTAAAAGTGAATACAAATGTATTTTTTTTATTATTTTTAATAAAATATGTTTAGTTTCTGGGTGAAGTTTTTTTCAGTTGTAAGAAAGGCTCTAGCAGAACTGCGTTAATATCGACTCTGTAGACATTTCATTCCCCACAGTGTTTTCACTTGGAGAAGAGTGATGAGAGAATGTAGCAGAGATCACATCTGTGCAAACACATTAGAAAGACAGCTGCTCTGATTTTGCATGTGCCATGTACA